CAACATATCTACCTGGCAAACAACTCCCACTTCCAAGAACTAAACCTACAAGTGAAAAGAAGATGAGATGCCTCTCTTAGGGATCATGTTAGGGAGGTAGTTTTGTATGTTTACACTTCACCAGAATGACTGAAATTCAAGTTCCATTATTACTAGTGGGAGTCATTCTGCAACTGGCTGAAACGCCGCAGAAATTAAACTGCTAGTGAAGGGGCAGAGACGCACAATATATATTTCACACAGCAAGGTAGTGACTTACATAGGGTGATGCAAGCTACACTTTAGCAATTTTGTCCTGGCAAAGGATTGTCTGAGACTTGCCTATTCTAACACCGGATTGGACTGTTCAGCTGTCTCTGGATCCCTTCAAACTACAGAAACACCTGAAGTAAGAAACCTCAATTTTTAGGCTCTAGTTCACACCGCAGCGTTCAGTTACAGAGAATGTAAAACAAACTGCAGCAAGCCCTATTTTTCCTGCTCTGGAACGCATACAAATGCATCAAAAAAGCATGCAAACGCACTGGAATGCACTGAAAGCCCATTTTAAGCTACAAAAAAACCCTGCTATGGCCTAAATTTCTATTAATTTGTCCATCCGGGTCTTACATGTACTGACTATACAAACCTGTCTGTAGCGCTTAGGCCCCATCACACAGGCTTTGCAATCAGTTTTTCAGGATGACTCGATCAGAAGCCCAAATGTTACTCTATGGGTAGCCCGATCCTAACATACGGGTGGCCGCTTCCCCCGGCTCCGGAAAAACAAACGGAACATAGTTACACTTCGACTGACCTTATCGTGCCAGATTGGGGGTAATCTGATGTAAACAGACCATTACATCCGATTCCCCATAGACGACATGGGGTCCACCAATTAAATTTTTTTTCCTCAATCGCAACATGGTGGAAAAAAACTGAAGGGACACAGATGTTACAGCAGTGACATCCGTTCTGAGCAGCAGGGGATCCATTCACAAAACACCCTCCTGATCAGACCATGTGAAAGAGGCCTTAGATTCCAGTAATCTACATTTCAGTTTCTGAACGCAGATTGCATTATAGTGCTTAAAAAGTGACACTAAACTCAGAAGTTAGAACTTAAAAATACATTCAAGTATCCAAAATATTAACAATAATGTATCTTATTTGTGTATCACTCGGCTGTAGATCCTCAAATCATCTCTGAATGGTGATGACACTGTCCTTCCTTCTGGAGGGGGGCTACTTTGGTTCCCCATGGTCCTTGTGTGTTGTATAGTAGCCACCGCTCCAAACTCACTCCCGTGATAGACTACAATCTCAATACAAATTAGTAAACTAAACATGAGATTGTACTCCATCACGGGAGGGAGCTTGGAGAGGTGACTACTGTACTTTACAAACACACACAGGGACCATAGGGAACAAAAGTACACACCCTCCAGAAGGAAGGACAGTGTCAGTACCAATTCAGAGATGGTTTGAGGATCTACAGCCGAGTGATACACAAATAAGATAAATTTTTGTTAATATTTTGGATACTTGAATGCATTTTTAAGATGTAACTCCTAGCATCACTTTAAGGAATTCTTAGAATTAACCACCCCCCACATACTTACCTTTGCAGTGGGACCTCATCACATTTTATGCAGGTCCACTGACTCGCATTAGACATGAAGATGCCAAGGGACATTCAGACAGAGCGGAAGGGGTGAGCATTGTCCACTGCGGGACTGGTTAACTACCACTTAACCTTTGTAGTGCGGGAGTAGCCCCACTGCAAGGGTACTTTTTTTTTTTTTATCCCCAAAAAAACTTCCCAGTGCATGGCATTGAATTGGGACAGCCTTGTGCAACACTGCACAATGGGGATGGTGTGAATGAAACTTAATGTGTAATTGCTGCCCCGAATTTTACTAGGCGGCGAGCACAGTAATGTTCTATTGTCTAGAACATAAAAAAGGGCTCCTTTCTAGCAGATGTCATTCACAGTGTAACAAAATGCATGGAAATCAGAAAAGACATGTTTATAGTAGAGTGTTGTAGAATACTAGAAAAACAGTCCTACTTACTGAATTTGGCTCCATTGCCTGCAGCTTGCCATTCTATTCAATTGTTAAAATGGCCAACAATATGCATGACCCTCAAAGTATGCAATGTGGACTAGTAAATAAATGTCAACCCTTTCATGTAGTATATACAAAACAAAAACACATGTAACCATTTTGTCAGCATATAAACCAGTGTGGATGATATGCAAATAGGACTCTTTTCAAAGGCTAAATCTGCATTTACATCTTTTTTTTTTTATCACATATCACAATTTTACAATTTTAAGAAACAAAAAAGAGCAATGGTGCAAGCATCCAATATGGCACAAATAAAACATACCACATGTGGACTACACACATCTCGCATCAACATAAATCTCTCAAAAGAAATAATATTTAGGGTTGCACTGATACCAATAACAGTATTGGTGCGGATACTGGGCATTTTCACAAGTACTTGTAAAAATGCCCTAATACAGGCTCTTTCAAATTTTAAATACATCCAGCTGCCATAAGGTTCCACGCTTGCCAGGGGCCTCACGGCGGCTGTTTACAGCGCCACCCACACATCTCATTCCCACCACCCGCCAGACCCCGCACAGCCTCCTGATACGCCAGACACAGGCCTAGTCAGACTCCCCTCACTCCCCAGAGACCCTGGTGAGCAACAGAGTATCTAGCTTCTTATCATTCTGTTGCAGTATAATGCATCTCTGGGATTTGTAGTCCTCTCTAGCCAATGGTATTATTCTGCATTGCTGTATAATGTATTGCTGGGATCTGAAGTCCTCTCTAGCTGATCGTATTATTCTGCATTGCAACAATTCTTATGTAGCAATTATAAGATAGGTGTTATCCCCCTTTGGTTGCAAAAGTGGAAATCGCTCTCCTCTCTGCTCGCTCAGCCTTCTGTGACAGCTGTCAGGATGGAGAGCGGGTACAAGCAGTCAGTGATCACTGAGTGTTTGTAGATAATTGAGGACAGAGTATGGTTACTGTATCCTCAATTATGAATGAAAGGGAAGTGAACTACATCACCTCCTGTTCATTCATGATTGTGGTTATAGTAAACATACTCTGTCCTCATGTTATGAATGAATAGGAACACTCAGTATAGAGGCTTCCTGTTCATTTATATCAGGAGATACAGGGGATGTCATCACCCGTCTTCTTCCAGGTACATGATCTTTAGCCATCTTAGGCCCCTTTCACACTGCCCGACTGATCAGAGCGGTACGGATTAGAAATCCTCTGACTTTCGTAACCTTCCAGTTTTTTTCTCCATCTTGCGATGGAGGAAAGAACTGAAACAACCAGACCCCATCAGCCTGGCCCAGCTGTAGATCCTGTAGAGTGTAGGGATATCACTCGGCTGTAGATCCTCAAATCATCTCTGAATTGGTGCGGACACTGTCCTTCCTCCTGGAGGGTGGCTACTTTTGTTCCCCATGGTCCGTGTGTGTGTTCTAATGTAGCCACAACTCCAAGCTAGCTCCCATGATGGACTACAATCTCATGTTAGTTTACCAATTTGTATTGAGATTGTAGTCCATCCCAGGAGTGAGCTTTGAGCAGTACCTACTTTATCACACACACAGGGACCACGGGGAAAAAAAAAAGTACATTGATGTTAATAGTTAAGGTACTTGAATGATTTTTTAAGATTGAACTCTTCAGTTTAGTGTCACTTTAAATGCTCAGTTATGCCTATGGTAGCAGTAAAAAAGACTTTTACCTTACCCCTCACTCCGACAGCCTCCCTCCCTCAGTGTGACCGGTCTCCTGAAGACTCTTCACCAAGATGCTCCTGGTGTTCTATCACTTCTCACATGGACCCATGAGATTTCTGGACTTACAGGGGTCTGTGATGGGAGTCCAGAAATCTCACAGGCTACTACGCATGTGCAGAAATTTTACAGACACAATCTTATAACAATCCTGGGGGTCCAGACATTTTACAGCCACATGTCTTAGCATATAATGTTAATAAAAAATGGTTTTAAAAAACCCAAAAATATATAAGAATAAACAGCTATGATATATACTGTATTCATATATTTTAAATATATATA